GCGATAACACTGAAAACAGTTTGGCTAACTAAAAACATAAGAGTGAAGAAGTACTTACGTTGACTCATTACCCTAACTTTACAGCGCAAATTTTTTTTTTGAGTGCATTAACAAACTTTTACAATTAAAAAACGTGTCTGACCTTCCACTAGTAACCATTATAAATTGATCATTCCTATCAGTCAAATTAAATCTGCAAATGTGATCCGTATGGATAAATACATTAAGAAAATATAAGTTACATTCTTAGTAAGTTTAGGAGCCCGAAAAATATCTCAATATGGTTAAGGACATTATTCAAATATGATCTAGATTTACAGTAAGTTTAGGAACCCAAAAAATATCTCAATACGGCTAAGGTAATTATTCAAATATGATCTAGATTTTATTAATCCGAGTCTCTCAGCCGTATTTGAAGCGCGAAAAAACCCAAATCCTATTGAATGTACGCTTTTCCAAACAATTTTTGGTAGCCACCGAATATCATCAAGGACAGTATGTTACAGTAGGAAAAATAATTACATAACTTATCGTAGGTAGGTCGTAACCAACGTGAAGTTATGTAAAATATACAGGGTGATTCACAGGTCGTGACCAAAAATGAAACATCATACACAGGACCGCATCTTCTATGTAACATGTTTTCCCCGAGGGTTTCAGTAAAAAGATACCGGGTGTTGAAGTTTAAAAATAAAAAACAATTTTCTTTAATACCTTCAAACCCGTTAACTGGAATGAACTAAATATTCGTATGTGGATTTATCTAAGTATTGTCCAGACTCAAAAGTAGTTACTCAAAATTAACGTGCATCAGTGGCGGAGATACAGGGGCTTGGTTGCATTATTTTTCCAAATAAAAATAGTACGTGAAACGCGCAATATTTCGAATTTTACCTTCAATTTGCTACAAATAATTACTTTTGTGTTTTTTTCTTAGAGTGCATTGTTTTCGTAAAAATAAGGACAAATTAGATAATCAAAGCTTTATTTCAATTTATGTTCAAAAAGACCACCATTCTGATGGATAAAAGTGCGGCATCTTTTTAATAAAGAAAAACTTTTCTCCGCAAAATTTGTTGTGGCTTGAATTTAATGAAACGCATTATCCATTCTTTCTTGTAACTGATCAACAGTATTAATTTGTTTAGCACACCCTAGTTGTTTGAAAGCGCCCCACAAAAAGAAGTCCAGGGGGTTCAAATCAGGAGACCTCGCAGGCCAATGCACGGATCCGTTTCTGCCTATCCATCGTTGTCTAAAATGATTATTTAACCATGCGGTTATGTCACGATGAACGAATGTGGTGCACCGTCGTGCTGATACCACATTCGTGCTTTCGTTGTTAACGGAACATCATCTAAGCTAAAGCTAAGTATGAGTTTGCATTTAAACGTTGTTGCAATACGTGCATAAACGAGTGTATTCTTACAGAACGGGGATTTTCTCACGATTAAATATGTTCATTATGAGAATCAAAGCTTCCACTCCTCGTAAAAAGCGATTCATCTGACAACAAACTCAAATCAATAAAATCTCCTTTTTGATTATGCATTTGCAGTAATTTTGCCGGTGGTAAGGATGTCAAACTTCCCGATTTAAAATTCTCCACGCGACTTTGGTAACATGGTAACTGGGCTGCAATCCGCCTAGTACTTATACTAGGATCATCCAACGCCAAATTAATCACTTCCAGTTACTCTTGAACAGTACGCTGGACACCATTGGCGTCTAACTCCGGACGTTTGGCAATTCCATAGTGCCGAAGTGTTAGAAATAAACACGTGAAAATCTCTGGGGTAGGTTGGCGTCTGTTAGGAACTCTACGTTGATACTCCCTGAAGCATTTTGATTACAGAACCTGTACACAAAAATAATACCGGCGTACTCATCATCAAAAATGGAAAACAGAAACTTTAGACTTGACAAAAATGGTAGTAGTAACGATTTCAACCGAATAATACATAACTTTGACAAACTATCTTCTAAGAAACGTCAAGATGGTATTAAGGCTTATTTTATTTTGAAACTAATTGTATTTCGTTTTATTTTTATTTTTACGAAAATAGTGCACTCTAGGAAAAAACAAGAGTAATTATTTGTAGCAAATTGAAGGTACAAATTCGAAAAATTGTGCGTTTAGAAAAAAATAGTGGCGTACTATTTTCATTTGGAAAAATAATGCCACTAATCCCCTGTATCTCCACCACTGGTGCACGTTAATTTTAAGTAAAGACTTTTAAATGTGGACGATACTTGGGTAAATCTACATACCAAATTTTAGTTAATTCCAGTTGATGGTTTTAAAGATAGAACTTCAACACCCCGTATCTTTTTAATGATGCCCTCGAGGGAAAAATGTTACATAGAATGCGGTCCTGTGTATGATGTTTCATTTTTGGTCACGACTTGTGACTCACCCTGTATTTTCTACAACATATAGGTACTGTATATTTTTGCATAATATGCTCCTATATATCCTATATACCCCATGGGTGTTTAGGCCTTAGGCCTTTGTGGCAGTTGGAGTGTAAAAAATATATTAAAATACAGAACAGATTATGGGAACGCAATTCAGATTCATGATATCCCATAATATATTGTGTGGCTTCAATTTAATGGACGCTCTCCTATGAGCTCAGAACCTATTACATTCTAAATGTCATCATAATGCAGTGGCTTTTGATTAGATAATGACAGTAATGTCACCGGGCAGAAAATCTGTGAACGGAAACGAGTGGCATGGCATTATCGTAATGCAAATATCATAAATCACTCAAATCATATGACTATATATTGCAAGAAAAATATTTGAATTTGCTTGTTAATGGCCAAGTCTAACAAAAAATTATTTTTACGTGGACTTTGAAAGCCTTCTCGCTCTATTATTATCCTTGATATGCAACTTTCCGGTTTAAACTCTGGTTCAGACAAAAGTTCTAATAGTCATTTAGGGCAGAAGTGCCTCAAAGCTCCATTATAGCTTTTGATCTCACAAAATACTCACATAAGCTTAACATCAACTATAAAATGAAAACCATTCCGTGGTGCATTTTTGCCCAGTTTTTTCCGCTTTACGTCTGTTTTTCCCTTTTTCTTGTTCCAGTTCGGCCGCCGCAAATATGTAATTGCTCCGCCGACAATTTATTCCCGTTCGTACAAGGGAACATTGCATAGTCTGGGAGCTGAAGCACAAACTTTTTGAGGTGGCATACACAAAGTGTCACGTAATCTGTCTGAGGCTAGGAAAATTTTTGATTTTGAATGTACGAATCAGACATAAACCTAAAGTAATGCTCGGTTGCTGTGCTTTTCTGAAATCTATCTGGTAACAAATGTTAAGATCGAACGACAAATTTAAGCTTTTGTTGCTCCATTCCGATTTGTTAAGAATTCAGCTAAGATAAAATTAAATCTCAGAACAGTGCATCTATAGTGATTTTTTGAGGGAATTAACTAAGTAACTATAATTTGTTAAACAAAGGTAAATGTGTCCAGTTACAAAATGATAAATATCGAAAATACCATCTCTATATAGGCAAAAGCTTGGTGCTTAACGGAATGCTTCAAATTAGTCACACTATCAACTTGAAGGCAAATCTAATTACGTTGTCTAACGTTTTCACAATCTTCATATTTAAAAGAAAAATCTATTCAAAGGTACGTTCAAGTGCTCGGTTTGTGCATTAGGTACTTAAAACCAACGAAAGAAAGAGAAAGAAACCTTCTGACTCATTGTCTTAATCAGCAGCTAGAGCTCTTGAGGTAGGAGATGCGGAAAAAACTCGAATAGAACGCAAGATTTCGTACGCGACAAATAGAAGACATAGGCAAGTCTAAAGTGTTCAAAAATATAATTTATTGCCATTTTTCCGTAGTTCATGCAGCCTTTTCATCGTATCTTACATTACCAAAGCCCCCAAATTGGATGAGTATATTTTATATAATTAGGTATATTTATGGATTTACTACTTGACTTGATTTTCAAGCTACTTGACTTGGCTTGAAATAAAGTCAAGCTCAAGTCAAGCATGAGATATAGCAATGTAAGTCAAGTCAAGTAGTTTTTACGTCAAGTACGAGTACTTGAGAAGTCAAGTAGTCTTGATATTACCTAATACTTTTTGTAACATAAATACGAGTAGTTTATAAATACGGCACAGAACGACAAATTACAGAGAAAACAATAGATATTGAACAAAATAATTTGTTCATCGTACAGGTATAACAAATAGAAGAACGATAAAAGTGTAAACTCAAATAGAAAAAAGATGTATTTCTTCATTAGCAGATACAAAAAATTCCGAAAATTAGCTTTTTATTCGCTAACCACCTTTTGAGACACATGAGGGTTTTTAACGGATTTAACGCTTAATCTGATAGGAGGTACCGTAATGGTCAGTGCTGCCCTAGAAAATATCCTTCGATGTTGTAGATGTTCACAACTCGTGATTATTTGCATTAAAGTACAAAATACCGTTGATCGGTTCTACAAAAATAAATATTACTGAAATCCTTCAGTAGAAGAAAAATATCATTTACCATCAAGTATTAAGTAGTTTGAAAATGTTTGACCTCAAGTCAAGTAGAACAATAAAAAGACCAAGTCAAGAATTAAAGTTTCAAGTTATTTTAGTTAAGTACCTAGTTAATAAAAATATCAAACTACTTGGTGAATCCATATTTATATTATTCCTTTGTAGGAAAAGCGGTAAGCTCCTGGCTCAATGCTTACCGTCTTTAAACTTTAATAGTACGCATATGAACATATCTAACATCATATAGAAGATTATTTGGAAGTGTAGAGATCTTGAAAATATGGATTTGTTTTGTGTTAATATTATTTATAAACAGTGGAGGCTCGTGGCAAAATAAAACAGGTGTTCTGCAAATCCGAACTTACCTATTTTTTATATGTCAGTTCGACCCTGCGCTCCTTCTTGGCAGTAAATTTGTTGACAACCTTCCCGTTGAAATTTTCCATGGTCGAAATAAATTCCTTTTCAATGGACAGCATCGACAACGCTGTAAGGCGATCCTGGGTCGTAGTATTTCGAGGAAAGGTCTTGATTCTTTTCAATGTTGACATTATGAGTTGTAACAATAATTTCTAATAGCTTTTTTGTTTCGTTTAGTGTTTCCTCCAAACTAGTTTGTATCAAAAATTTCAAAAAAGACATAGTTCCATGTAAATTTCGGCAATCATTCGGGATAAGCCAAGCAGGTAGTTTCCAACTTGTCATCAGGAAACTTCCCACAGTATTCTCCAAAGTGTTTGGGGAAAAAAGGGATGCGGCTACCAAATGATCTTTGAACTGAAATCTGTCATTTGCAGAATTCACTATATTGTCGCATACTTCTAATGCGGCAACTCGGTGATCGTGACTGCTATTATTACGACGTCTCCTATTGTTGCATTGGGGTTCAGTGCAAATACTTTTGGCTTCATTTATTATGTCATCAATTTTATTTCTCACATCGACAATACATTTTTCAAAATTATCGATAGCCGTTTTAACTTGCACTGGCTCGGATTTTCTCTTTTGCAATTGGTTGAACAAGAAGTCGACGTGAGGCATGACATGATGAAAAAATGTCAACCAAAACACGAAAACAGAATCGTTTAACATACGAAGAATACCGCAAGCTGCCTTTCATTAGTGAAATTTTCTTCTATTCTATTATTAAAAAATCCCGGAATATCTTTCAAATCCTCAAAGAACACCCGAACTTGAGCATTTGCGGAAGCAGCTTGGGACATAATCAGGTTTAACTGATGCGCATAGCAATTCACATAATGAGCAAATGGATATCTTTGTTTAATTTTTGCCTGTACTCCAGCATTATGTCCGCTCATTACCGCGGCTCCATCATAGCTTTGTGAAATCAGTTTGTTATGGGAATTTCCTAATAATGGATCTACGACGCTCAAAATATGTCTTGTGAGAGTATCAGCGTCGCATTTTTCGGGATTCATATAATTCCAAAAACGTTCTAATGGTTCGCCGTTAAATACTTATCTAAAAATTGTTACCAGTGGGTTTTCCCCGAAATTTCCGTTGTTTCATCTCCTATTATCGCCAAATACGAGGCTCTGTTAATCTGTTTTATTATTTCTTCATGACAAACTTCAAGAATACAATCCAGTAGATCGTTTTGTATTTCTTTCGAAGTTCCATTAAATATTGAAGCATTTTTTATGTGTTCGCTTAAGGTTTTATCAAGCTCAAATGCTCCGCAAAATTTTATACAATCGACTATTTTTCATAGAACGTACCTGTTTTTTGTAACGGTATCATTATGCTGTTGTATATTTCTCCAATATGCTGAATCTAACTGAGCTCTGTTGTTATCAGTCCCCAATAAAGCCAATTACATCGAATTATGAAGATGTGTTTTAGAGTTTTCATGCTTCTTAATTTTTTCACTCAGGTGCACTAAATCTGTAACACCAACCTTCGTCCAAGCTTTGTCACCGCCGCAAGGAAAGTAGAAAAGGGCATTATTCCTGTTGCACCCACAAATCCAGTCATTTCTGGTGTAAATATCCCTGCTGAAATGCCGCGTATAGCCCTTGCCCCGACTAACGCCATGTGTTTCTATAAATATGTCCGGCAGAGGTCTACTTGACACCTTCAGCTCAATTTTTTCTTCAAATGTGTATTTCCAGGATAGTTTCACGCTGATAAGTCTGTAAACCTCATCCATTGTCTTGCACTACCCTTCTACACAGCCACAGTCAGTCAGTGAGTCACTAGTCACTCAACGTAAGACCCAAAATACCTAAATAAAAAAATTTTCGCATTCAAATTTTAAGCCACGTCACGCTTCAAGAGCAATATGCCAATACCGCCGAGGACCGAGCACCAGCCGACCAATCAGATATCGTACTTCGCATTAGATCTGTATAAATTGCAGCACATGCTTACGCTTAAATCGCGCATTTGATTTTGTAGAGAGACAAAAGCAAGCGCGTGCGGCTTGTGTCGAAGTAGTGCACAGACCCTTTTCAAGTGGCCCATGAATAATGTTACGCTGCGGTCGCGACGAAAATGACAAGTACACAATTGGTCGATTATAATGCTTTCTCGGTACAAAACAGACTCGGCGCCGTGTCTAGCGGGTTCAGGCCGGTATTGTTTCTATTTGTGTGATAACATGGAAAATAAATAATGAGCAAATTACTACTGCTTTTTTCTGTTAAGAAAAAAGTTTTGGCAGTTCTGCGGCTCTGCAGAACATAAGGGCCAACCGCCCATGTTTATAAAATCAAACAGTATATATATATATATATATATATATATATATATTAATGAAATTGATGAAAATGAAAGGAGGTATTTCCTCTGGATCGTCATCAATGAATGTGAGCCAAAATGTAGGCATTCTGGAGATATATATATATATATAGATATAGACAAAGTTTAGTACATGAGAAAAATAGCGCAACTATCTAAAAACAGATGTGTTGCACAATATAAATCATAAAATAAAGTACGAGTGCTTTCTTTCTTCTTGTCTAGAGTAAAATATACTAATAGAATATATTATAAAATAGTATGATTCTTTAAGTAATTAACAGGAACTTTGTTCAGTAGATCCAGCAACGTTGCATTTACGAGTAGAAAGGCCAAGGTTTGTGAGTGCGAGCCTTGCAAACCAAATTGTTAACCAACAGTCTGTTACAAATACATTTTATTGGACTTGATATTCATGACCTGATTTTAGTAATTAGCAATATTGAGAAGGATTTATCTTTTATCTTGTCTGTGCTGTTTTGAATTCCCCGAATTGAAAGGAAAACGTCTTCCATTCTATTAAATTATCACCATCTGAAAGGAAGACTAAATTTCCAAGGATTATTAAACGCGCTAGATAATGTTTAATCACGAACTGCCGTGAAATTTGTCTTCAATATTTCTGAGCTATAACTGCTCGAATCTTGACATTATCTACCAGCGGAGTGCTAATGTGGACCAATAGTTCACCGTATATCTCTTAATGATAATACTTAAAAATGTTTCCAAAGTTTCAACGCTTTTATTGATAATATTAACGATAAGCTTCTTTTCTTGCCGGATCGGTAGATCAGAAAAGCTTACCCAATGTACATAAGAGCTAAGTTCTCGTAGACATCTTTAGACGATATCCGGATTTGCTACCCATGTAAATTTTCATATAAAATATGTCAATTATTCTCGTATTTTCCGGACTATAACAAGGTCATCAACGACTTTCATTATATTCACAACATTGTGTCAGGAAAAATAAATTTGTTGAGTCAGCCTCTTATCAACTTAAATTTTGTCTATGAACATTTAGAAAATAATCACTAGAGGGTGTCCGCAAAGTTGGGGTTTTCCTTTTCAGACACAACTACGCTTGATATAACAAAGCTAATGTGTGGTGAAACGTGAGCGAAGAAGTAAAAAAAAAGAAATGAAAAAGTACTCACTGTTCAGTTGAATTGAAATTCCAAGTATGGCTCTGTCGTAAAATTTGTATTCACATCGTAGTCGTACGTTGTATAACTGAACGCTGGCGCTGTGGACGTATTCGAGGGATAGGACAGGACCGGCTTCGGTTTGGTTCATGTTTGATTGAGTTTGCGGAGCCCAATATCTCGGTTCTCTTAAGACATTGGTGTATATGCTACTTAGAAAATCCGCTCATTTTCTCAAGATTTACACGTCGTGTAAAGGAAAACCCTAACTTTGCGGCCACCCTGTAACAGGTAAACGGAAGGTAGCGATGTTTGCAGATACATCTGTAATAGTGTATGGGGAATCTCCAGAAGAGATTAAAGGGAAATAAATAGTTTTATGACTGAGATGGGGTCTTGATGTAAAAAAAAAACAACTAATATTAAATAAGGACAAAACAACAATTATAATTTTCTTTATTAAAAAGCAATTACTAGACCATTTGTAACGATAGTGGGATATATTTACAATCCGCTATTCCGCTCTTAGGTACTCTTTTAGACTCTGATCTCAAGTTTACCATCATGACTGCAAAAAACTTGCAATTTGCAAAATGAAACCTCTCCTAAACCGGCATTGTCTTTTAAATCTATATTATGCATTTGATTTTAGGCATTTGTCATTTGATATTGCCAGTGTCTACTGATATTAAAAGTGTATTTTTAACTCAAAAGAAAATCAATAGGCTCATTTTTGGTTTAAACTATAATGAATCAAGCAGGCAAACTTTTAAAGAACACGGAATTTTAACACTTCCATCCATTTACATACTAAAATGTGTAACATTTGTGAAAAGCAACTCTTATAGTTATACTCTCTTTGGAAGCAACCACAACGATACAACACGCAATACGCTTGTAAGTTTTCCTACCCCTAAGACATCATGTGGAAGACCTATATTTTACAACTGCATGAATCTATTTAACAATTTAATTATAATGAGATAAGCACAAAGTAAAGAAAGGTTTATGCCAGAGCTGCTTTCAAGAGTACAAGACTTTTTATCTTGTAAAGTTTAAACTGCCATCATCATGTAAGGGTCTTACTCTTTTTATATGTAATTTTTAATATGTCTTATGTGTCAATCATTTTTTCTTCTTTGACTTGTCAACTGTATTAATTTACGAAGTATGATCAGTAAATATATATCTATCAACGGTTTTTGACTCCTGCGCCCAGACTGATGGCATAAAATTGACGAGCACCACCAGTTTTTTATTTTGAACTGGATCAGGGACTGGCTCGACCACCGAAGGCAATATTGGCATCAAACTGAGTGGCATAACGGATTGAAGTAGATTCCACCAAAAACGCTTGTTCTCGGCACTTTTCATGACTTCATGACAGTGGCGTGTCAGCTCCATTTTTACTTTCCGTGACTAATTGGTCGAGGCACGAGGTAAGGCGTGATTTCCCGGGGCTTCCAAATCTTATTTCAGTTTCATTGTCATTATTGGTGATACAGAAATATGCTCTTTTAGTAAATATTTATATCAGCTATTTTGATGACTATTTTATTCCAAATTTATTCTTATTTGTTCAGGCTCCACAAGTCGTCGTTTATAGGGAAAGGCGCGTCGAATCCAATATTATTGGATTCATAAGTCCAGATCCAAGCCTCCGTCATGCATCCGTGGACAGAATTTGCTCTATATCATCGATCCATACCGCGCAACAAAGTATTGGACGACTGATAAAAGAAACAATTTTGTATTGTCGATAACAACGGTCATTTTATCTTGAAAAGGCCTAAGCATTACAACGATGAATTTGTACATGCTTTGTAACGGAAATGATATTTATATCAGTGCTCCTGATTGCGCATCCTGTAGATATATTTTTTTATAATTTTATTATGAGTTGAATTTTTCTCGCGGAAGGTCCATTAAGCTTGTCTTTCTTCGATTCTTCGTTTGAATACCGACTCAGTCTACTTGGACTTGTCTATCGGTCGGTTTGTCTGTGAGCCTGCCTGCCTATCTGTCGGTAAGTGTTTCTGTCGGTCTGTCGGTTTGGGTCTGTCTATCAGTCCGCTAAACTTTGGAAAGTACCCCTCGAATTTCATATAATACACAAGGTTGCTATATCCCAAGGAT